TACGACTCGTGTTTCCACTGCAGGGGGCACAGGTTCAATCCCTGGTCTGGGAAGATCCCACAAACCACATGGTGTGGCCAAAAAAAAAAAAAGAAAGAAAAGAAAAAAGAGACGGAGAGAGACTTCACATACACAGAGGAGAGGACCATGTGAAGACAGAGGCAGAGGCCAGAGTTATGCAGCCACAAGTCAGGGACGCCTGGAGCCACCAGAAACCAGAAGAGAAAAATCAGTTCTCCTCTAGGGCCCTCCCGGCATGCGCAGCGCTGCTGACACCTCGACTTTGCCCCTGAGATACAGATTTCGAACTTCTGGCCTTCAGACTGTGAGAGAATAAATTTCAGTTGTTTGAAACAGGCAAGTCTGTGGTCATTTGTTACAGCAGCCACTGGAAACTTCTACAGGAAATGACTTGTCCACAGCCATACAGCTATGAAGTGGCTCAAAATGTAGTAAGTGCTCAATAAACGTTGGTGTGGTTGTTTGGTCACTGCATCGTGTCCAACTCTTGTGACCTCATGGACTGTAAGCTGCCAGGCTCCTCTTTCCATGGGATTTCCCAGTCAAGAACATTGGGGTGGGTTACCAGCCCCTTCTCCAGGGATCTTCCTGACCCGAGGATCAAAGCCACGTCTCCTGCATTGACAAGCAGATTCTTTACTGCTGAACCACCAGAGGAGCCCTCAATAAATGTCACCTGTTACTATTATTGTGACCATATTATGACCAAATCAGCCTTGGGAAGCTGATTTCCAGGGTGAAATGTCCAAAAGAACATGAAATTGGTCTTCTTTATCCATCCCAGCCCACTGTTGGGAAGGGACCGTCTGAGTCACCGTATTTGATGATTCGGTTTGGGAAGAAGCTATTAACACAGGTGGAGTTGGTTCAGGAAAACGATGAAACTTGGTAGGATGAATGCCTCACTCCCACTAAGTCAATGCCAAGCACTAGAATTAACTCCACTGGCCAAGCTGGTCCTGCAAATCAACTTGAGAGCAGGTTTGTAGCTGATGGAGCAAGTGTCATGGCCCAACAATTCAAAAAGATGAGGTGGCTCCTCTGTGTCTGGAAGTATCTCCCACACAAAACCTCATTTCTTGTTGACTACATCCTCTGTCCTCTTTGGTTCAGAGTAACACCCAATACATACGTACTGAATGTGTGAAGTTTGCCCCCACTACAGGAAGCTAAAGGTGGGGATTGATGGTCCATAGCTGATAGCCCCAGCTTCCTAAAGTTTATGTGGCTCCTCCCCATCTTTCCATCCCCTCTTCTCCCTCCCCTTCCCGCCCATTCCCTTCCCTTCCATTATGCTTTGTTGTTATTTAGTCACTAAGTTGTGTCAGACTCATTGTGACCCCATGGACTGTAGCCCGCCAGGCTCCTCTGTACATGGCAGGTGGATTCTTTACCACTGAACCCCCTGGGGAGCCCCCTCCTCCCACTTCCATTGTATTCGATAATAGTTTGATCCAGGAACTTCCCTGCTGGACCCGTGGTTAAGAATCCATCTTGTAATGCAGGGGAGACAGGTTTGATCCCTGGTCTGGGAACTGAGATCCCACATGCAGGGCAACTAAGCCCATGCATGTGCCATAATAAAGAATCCAGGGTAGCCTAAACCAAAGTTTGATCTACTAGGGGGTCCCAGCAACATCAGTGTGAGCTGTAGAGGGAGGGGGATATGATACATGCTGGTCCACAGAGGGATGTCATAGCCCAATGGGATAAGAAGAGTGTCCATATGGGGTGATGGTGGCCCCATCATAGGGGCCAGAGCTTGTGTGAGTGAGGAGGGCATCCTAATGGAAAAGAAGCTTGGCATGGGGGGGTCAGGTGGCTTCCCAGGTGGCACTAGTGGTAAGGAACCCAGCTGCCAATGCAGGAGAGTAAAAGATATAGTATTTGATCCCTGGGCCAGGAAGATCTCCTGGAGGAGGGCATGGCACCCCACTCCAGTATTCTTGCCTGGAAAATCTCATGGACAGAGGAGTCTGGCAGGCTATGGTCCATAGAGTCACAAAGAATTGGACACGACTGAAGCGACTTAGCATGTGTGCATGGGGTGTCAGAGATTGAGTAGGGTGTAGAAGGTATCCTTGTTGGGTATAGGGCAGCATCAACAATAAGAAATGATGATATATGGGGTGGGGGTTGGTCAAATAAGTGAACACACTGAAAATACTAGGTTTCTCACTGTTGGAGAGGAGGTTACCAACATGAAGAGACTAGAATTAATCCTATGGAGTTAGGTTGGAATTGGATCTATTAGGGTGAACTCATGCTGTTCAACATCAATAGAATACCGTGGAAACAAATATAGATATAAATGTGTGTGTGTGTGTGTGTGGACTTCCCTGGTGGTCCAGTGGTTAAGAATACACCTTGCAATGCAGGGGACTTGGGTTCGACCCCTGATCAGGGAACTAAGATCCCACATGCCCCAGGGCATCTCAGCCCAGACATCCCAACTAGCGAGAAACCCGAATTCTGCAACACAGATATCACATGCTGCAATTCAGACTCAACGTAGTCAAAAAGTACAAGAAGAGCCTGGAATATCTTGTGCCAGACAATAAGGAAATGTTTAAAGAATGATAGGAAGACAGAAGCCAGCTGAAAAGGACCATCACGGGCTGAATCTAGGATACACTGGGTGCCCAAATAAATAATAACAGCAATGGATTGTAACCCATGGAATCAGAAGAATGTACTGATGAAAAGAAATAAATGGAAAGTCTGATGAGAGATGGGATAGTAGTCTCCAAGTACCTCCCTATGAACTATGTATTATTTTCAAAGAGGAAAGAGGAGATTCAGAGGCTTTCTGAGAGTGGTGGGGACTGTGGAGAGCTGGGGATTCCATTCCAGAGCAGGCACTTAAAAAACTTGTTGTATGGATGGGTAGGCATCAAGACATTGCATTCACTCAGAACAACGACCCATCTCACATCAAACCCATATTCCATGGCAAGACAGTTTTTCTAGACTTGAGTTTTTTATATCAGCCACAGTCTCTGGTGGTTTGGCTGAGATGGAGCAAGTTGAGAAATCGGGGTGTCGTCTGAGGCTGGCAGTCCCCATGTAGGCTGTGATCTCTCTGTTGAATTAATAGCAGGGCTGTGTCTAAAATATGGGTGGGGGTTCTGGGTCCAAGTTTTGGGCGGGCTGGTGAGGGAGGCTTCAAGGAGATGGTATCTTAGGATGCCTGAGGGGGGTGAGGTTGGGTGGGGTGGGAACAAGCCAAGGTTGACGACTTGGGCTTCTATTCGTGGGTGAGCTGACTTGATGGAACATGTCAGGGTTTGGGTCATGAGTAAGACATGACGATAGTGTTTTTTCCCCCAGAACCTTTCATTTCCTGACTGTACATGGGTTTAGAATAGCCTCTTTTCTCAGTTGCCCCTTGTAAGATTACATTGAAAATATTGAATAAAGTTTGGCAATTATTTTTACTGACACCAGTGAGTTCTCATTGCTCTTAGCTTAAAATCCAAACTTTATACCACTCTCTACTTAACCCAACAAGCTCCTGCTCACCTCCCTGAGCTCAATTCCTATCCTCATTTCTTTGCCTCATCCTCTCACTCACTCCACTCCCATTCCCTCCCCTGGTTGCTTGCACACACCAAGCTTTTTGTCACCTTAAAGCTTTTGCATGTGTCCCAGCCACTCTGACTGTCTCCTACTTCTTCTTCAGGCCCTGAATCAAACGTCACCACCACTGCATAGTTACTTACTGCCCCTTACTCCCTACATCCTATCACAAACACATCCTCAGTCATCCCTGTCACTCTGCCTTATTTTTTTTCTTCATTACACTTAGCATTTGAATTTGTCTTATTTACTTATGTATTGCATTGTAATTATAATGTATTATCTTGTCTCCTCAACTAGAATGTGAGCCCCACAGGAGCCAGGATTTTGCTGTACTGTTCATCACTGTATCCTCAATGCCTAGCACAGTGCATCGTGCATGGTGCATGGTGGGAGCATAGTGAATTGTTTATTCTGAGAATGAATGAGAAGCTTTCAACAGCTATGTGCTAGATTTTAGGATACAAGCATCAAGGTGGGTTGTGACTGAGATGAATTGTGCTCCAGGTTGCGGCAAGCATGTACCCCGGGCTACTGGGGTGAAGTCAGGTTTGAAGAAACAGGCACCAGTCAGGTGGTGACTGAATTGGATTGTAAACTGGGCTGAGTCCATCAGGTAATATCAGACTGTACAGGTCAGACTGGACCCCATATTTCAGGTGACAAGAGTCCCAGTTAGGCTTGGCTGAGTTAACTTGTGATGGGCCAGTGTCCAACAGGCAGAAGATCACTAAAGAAGAATCAAGGATCCCCACTGGTTGTAGCCAAAGAGAACTTTGATCACAGCAGTGTCCAAAAAGTCTCTTGGGACTGTTAAAGCTTAGCTTTGTTAAAGCTTAGCTTTGTGGGGTAGCAAATGTCCTGAAGGATGCTGGCAGGATTGGGCCGTAACCTGGGCTGGTGGATGGGTTGTGAATTGTGACCTTGCCCATCAGGCGAGGACGCGGCCTGAGCCAGCTCGCCTGGTTGCGGGGTGCCACGCCGGGGGTGGCAGGAAACACGTGGGGACGGGTCACCTGGGAGCGGCTCACCTGGGCGTACCTGATGTTGGAGTCGGCGCGCTTCCGCGCCGGGCGGGCTGGCCCCGCCCCCCGACCAATGGCAGGGCGGAGGTCCAGGGCCGTGGGCGAGGATTGGGCGGGCAGGCACGGCGGCCGGCGCGGATTGGGCGCGGGCAGGCGGGGGCGGGGCGGAGCGGCAAGCAGTTTAGGTGCTCGGCCTGCGGGCGGCGCTGAGCGCTCGGCTACGCGGGCGCAGCGCGGGCGGAAGTGGCGACGCTGGCGTCCCGGGAGGCTGCGGAGGGCGGCAGTGACGGCCCCGGCGCTGACGGCGGCGGCCCGGGGGGCGGCGTGGACGCCCGCGGCGCCGGCTGGGGCATCACCGCGGGCCTCGACCCCGAAATGGCGCTGCTGGCGGAGCACCTGCTGAGGCCCCTGCCTGCGGACAAGCAGATCGAGACGGGGCCCTTCCTGGAGGCGGTGTCCCACCTGCCGCCCTTCTTCGGTGAGCCGGGGAGAAAGGGGGAACTGGCCGGGAGCCCTGCCCCAGGGAGCTCCCAGATGCACCCGCTTCCTCCTTCTCCCAAACATCCCCAAACCAGCCCTTCCATGGACACCCCAAATCCTACTTCCCCAGGCACCAAAGATCCCCTTTTTCTGCAGGCACCCCAGATTTCCCCTATCCCAGACCGCTCCCAGATCCTCTCCCCAGAACAGTCATATCCTTATCTCTTCCCGGACATTCCCAAATCCTCCGTCTCCCCAGACACTTCATCCGTCAGATGCCTGCGGTTTTCCACCCGCTTGTGCGCCCCAAACGTCCATCTCCCCACAAACACCCCTACTCTTCCAGATCCCCAGTTCTGCAGTCCTCCGTCTCCCCCAAAGCGTCCCACCGTCCCCCACCGCCCAGGTCTTTTATGCGTCACCCCATCCTTCTGTTCTTCCCCTTTTGAATGGCTCCCAATTCTCTCCCTTTAAAATGAACCCCTCATTTGATAAACCCCCTCTTTTCTATAAATTCTCCCATCCTCTCCCTCTTGGGACAGTGTGAACCCTTCTTTTCCTCAGAATTCCAAATCCAAGATCCCCACCCCCCACCCCCACTCCAGGGGCAGAAAGCCTGGCAAAGTGAGGAGGGAGTTTTTGGAGATGGAGTCACAAAACTCTCGGGTCCCCTTCCTGGGGAGAACCACCTAAACTTTCCCCTCTGTTTGGAGCAGGGGTCGGGACCAGGGGACCTGCTTTGTGGGGTGACATCAGACACTGGGTGCTTGGATTGGAGTCCAAAAGAAAAAGTCCCCTCCCCCCATTTGTCATGCCCTGGGAGGTGGCCCTAGGGCGGTTGCAGACCCTCGTTTCTCCCATCCTCCAACCCAGCCCACACCTTGGATGGAAAATGGGAAACAGACTAGGGCCCTGCCCTTTTCCTTGCTGGTTGGTCTCCAGTGAAGAATGCAACCTGAGCTCTGCTCTCTCCTCTTCATGTGGGCTTTCCCCGAAACCCCGCCCTGCTGGTTTACTTGGTGGCTTTGCTGGAGAGACCAGTCCCCAGGGCAGAGTCCAGCAGAGACCTGCAGGCTGACAGCCTGCCACTCACTTGGACTAAAGGAATGGTGGCACCCAGGGCGGTCACGCCCTTTGCCCTGGAGGGTGATCAGGGCTCCCAGTGGGCAGTAGTCGCTACAGTGCCATGGGCTCTGGGGTGGTTGTGGCTACATGAAGTCACACCCCTGTTATCTTCCTCCACCCTTTGAGCCTCAGCATCCCCATCTGTGAAATGGGCATGCTGATCTCCGAGGCTAGCGGCAAGGGCTAAATAGGTGGAGTGATAAGGTTCCGAAGCCTTTAAATGCCAAACACATCTTACTATTGGGGGCGTGGTTGTTATACAAGTTCCTGAGTTCAGTTTTGGTTCCTTCATAGCGTAGATGATTGATTAATGAGTGTTTGAGTGAGTGCCATTGGCTGGTTTGTACGATTCTCAGACCTGTGTCTTTTACATCTACTGTTGCATCCCTGTTGCTTCCCCAGAACAATGCCTGGTGCACAGTAGGTGCTCAGTCAGCACTTAAATGTACAGAATATTCTTAATATCCATATCTCCATGTTGAGATAATGCATCTCCAGGCAGGAGCTTGGGAACTGTCTGATTTCAGCATTGAGGAGCTGTTGGTTTTTGTGATGGGTTTTTCCCTCCTCTTTTAGTTCTACAAACATTTGCCCTGAAGAAGGATTCAGAATCTGTTTAAGCTGCTGCTGCTGGTGGTGCTAAGTCACTTCAGTCGTGTCCGACTCTGTGCGACCCCATAGACGGCAACCCACCAGGCTCCCCCGTCCCTGGGATTCTCCAGGCAAGAACACTGGAGTGGGTTGCCATTTCCTTCTCCAATGCGTGAAAGTGAAAAGTGAAAGTGAAGTTGCTCAGGCGTGTCCAACTCGCAGCGACCCCATGGACTGCAGCCTAACCAGGGTCCTCCGTCCACAGGATTTTCCAGGCAAGAGTACTAGAGTGGGGTGCTGTTTAAGCTAGTCCTTCTCAACTCAGAACAGTTTCACCCCCTCAGGGGACAACGGGCAGTATCTGGAGACATTTTTGGTTGTCACACCCTGGGGCGGGGGGCACAGGGCGGTGGTACTGGCAGCTGGAAGTCAGGGATGCTGGTAAACATCCTCCAGGGCACAGCACAGTCCCCAACCACAAAGAATTGAGCCAGCCCCAAATGTTAGCTGTCTCTCAAGGTGGAGAAACCCCCGAGGTAAGCTCTGTGACCTTTTCCTCCTGCACCTACAGCAAGGTTGCCCGTCAGTTCTGCGTTCAGGGGCACCTTCACTTGATGCGAGTGTCGGACCAGTTTTACAGGAAAGGGGATGGTGGTGGCTGGAGCCTCCGGGGATCTGGTGCCTGGGTAGGAGAACGTCCCCTGCCCCCTTCCCCGATCTCAAAAGACCCTTGTGTTTGCTGCGAACTGGGTGCCGTGGGCCCTCACATCTGTTGACAGAGCTGCCATTTATACAGAAGCCTCAGTGGGTCAGCCCACAGAGGATAATTCTTAGCACTGTTTGAAAAAGGTGATGATCCGTTCTGAAGCATTAAGGTTTTTCTCCGGAGAGGGTTCCTCCCAAGGGTTGAAGTTTGGGGAGGATGCTCCCAGCAATGGCTTTCCCCTGGCATGCGGGGTTGATGGAGATCGGCCCATCTGCTCTGACACATGGGCTTTGTCCGGGTCTTGGGAATGTCTGGTCCCTTGGGTGATCTGTGATCTGGGTGCCGTGTGTGTCTCTGGCATGGAGCAGGTCTGAAGTCTGAACTCAAGAAGTCTGAGTGGCATTGTGGCAGTTCCTTCCAAAGCAGGGTTTCTTCACCATGACACTGCTGACATTCGGGACTGGGCCATTCTTTGGAGTGGGGGTGCTGTCCTGTGCTTTGTAAGATGTTCAGAGGCATCCCTGGCCTCTCTGCCAGATGCCAGCAGCATCCCATCTCCCCAAGTTGTAACAACTAAAAATACCTGCAGAGAGACAGAGTCACCCCCAGTTGAGAGCTTCTGCTCTTGATGTGAATAGAGCAGAGAGCTAAGAGCAGTGTTTTTAAAAAGTATTTATTTCTTCAAGGAAGATGTTTCTCAGAGGAAAAATTGAGCAAGAAGAAATGATAAATTAAAAATCTCCCTGCCATTTTTTATTGAGCTTTACTCCGTGCTAAGTAGTCTATGTAGATGAGTTCACTTAATCCTTTCATGGCTTTTTGAGGCGGAATTTTTTTGTTGTTATTTAAAAAAAAAAAAACCTTTATTTATTTGGCTGCATTGGGCATGTGTGCTTAGTTGCTTCTCGGCCTAGGGGACTTTAGTTCCAGGACCAGGGATTGAATCTGCATCTTCTGCATTCAGTATATAGTCAAAGTCACTCAGTAGTGTTCAACTCTTTGTGACCCCATGGACTATCTGGTCCATGGAATTCTGCAGGCCAGAATACTGGGTGGGTTGCCATGCCCTCCTCCAGGGGAATCTTCCCAACCCAGGGATCGAACCCAGGTCTCCTGCATTGCAGGCAGATTCTTTACCAGCTGAGCCACGGGATTCTTATCCACTGGACCACAAGGAAACCACCTGACCATCAGGAAAGTCCTGTTGTTTTTTTTTAAAGATAAATCAGTGGTGACATTTCAGACTATTTTCCTTTCAGACCCATTTGTCTCTTTATCTGTCTTTAAGGAGAAAAGTATAACTGCTTTTTTTTTTTTTAACCCACCCATATAGCATAACCAGCTTTCCTTGTCAACCATCATTTTTCAGAGCTACTTAGAATTTTGTTGTTTGAATGTAGCCATAAACTATTTAACCAGCCCCCTGATGTTGGATATTTACATTGTTTCTTTTATTTTTCTCTAGTAAACCGTGCTACAGTGAACATTCTTATGTTTATTTATTTGCATACTTCTTTGGTTATTTCTAATTTTTTGAAGGGAAATTACTGGGTAGAAGCAGGTGAAGGCTTTACATGTGTTTAGCGCAATCACATTTCTTAATGCTTCATTGGGTGTGGTTTGGGACAGAATTGGTTGGGCTTGATGAATGCTGATTCTTTTGGGCTGCAGGTCATATGTGGTTCAGAGCACCTGTACCCTTGGCTCATTCTTTCATATCTCTGGTCTGAGTCTCCCAAGCCGGATAGGTTTTGCTGTGTCCACCTAGAGGTCAACAACCCTTTGTCCGTCTTCTTTCTCCACCTTGACCCAGTAATTGGATCTCACCTCTGATCAGTTTGCAGTTGACGTCTGTGAGGCCCTTCTCTCTCAGCTTTTACGGTCGATTACACAACTGTTCCAGAGCATTAGAAATTGAAGGGTGGGGAATGGAGGGGGAGAGAAGCGAAGGGAGAGACCTAGTTGTCATTTAGTTTTGTCACTCTCTGTCTAGAAGCTTCAGTGGCTCCCTATTACCCCACCTTGAAATCCATGCTGTAGCCTTTCTGAATGGCTTGCAGCTCCAGAGATGGTACTGTGATATCACTTGCTTCTGGCTCTATACCTGCATCAGAGTCTCACGGCCTGGGGTACCACTTCTCTCTGGCCCATCACCTTCCTTTCACCTGGATGGGTTCCACTTATACTAAAGTCACTTATGGCAATGGGTTTTGCAATTTAAAAAAAAAATTTTTTTTATTGAGGAATAGTTGCTTCCCAGGTGGTTCAATGGTAAGGAATCTGCCTGCAATGCAGGAGACACAGGTTCCATCCCTGGATCAGGAAGACCCGGGAGAAGGAAATGGCAACCCACTCCACTCCAGTAGTTCTTGCCTGAGAAATGCCATGGACAGAGGAGCCTGGCAGGGTCCAGAGGGCTGCAAGAGAGTCAGCCGTAACTGAGCCACTGAACCACAGCATAGTTGCTTTATGATGATGTGTTAGTTTCTGCTGTACAACGAAGTGAATCGGCTGTGTGTGTGGACATATCCTCTCCCGACCTCTCTCTCACTCCCCCACTTCCCCCACTCATCCCA